TGTCGTCCATGTCGTCACCATCCGGAAGTTCCGCCGTGTTCCACTCATTCAGTCGCTCCATTGTGGAAGGACTGGAAAGAAACTGGTGCAAGCCGTCCACGATCTTTTCAATTCTGTCGTCAAGAGTATTTGTCATTTTTAGGAGGACGTCGTCAGAGGTTCGCTGAAGTTTGTCAAGGCGTTTTGTGATTTCTTCCTTTTTCTCCTGCTTCTCTTGCATTGTTCTTCTGGCGTTCATGATTTTTGTTCGAATGACGTAAGTCAGTCTACCGACAAAGAACTCGATCCACCTGTTTAACAATAAAAGAGATCGTTAAATTTTGAATTGACCAGAACATTTTTAACTTTTATGTTGTTTTTTATCATTCTCTTCTGCTGATTCTTTATACGGCTTATTACATATAAAACGGACAGATCCCCGTTTTATGAATATAAAAGTCAACTTTACTTCACAAGTGCGACACTTACTTATGATGCTTCGTGAGTTTGGTTTGAAGACTTTTAGGAACCAGTTCCTGGATCCCGTCCAGAAGTTTCTGGTATCCCTCAGTAAAACCTGCGCCCGCTCGTAAGTTTCTGAAAGCCTGGAAATGACAGTGTGTGGAAAATTATGGCGATGGACAATCACAAGAAAGACAAAAAAATAACCAAAAAGATTTGTGAAAACTAGAAGCTGAGACTTAACAGACAAGAAATAACTTTGATCAATGTGTTATTTACTGTAGTATAGTCTTGTGCACACTGGGCAGTATAAAATTAACCATTTATTAGCATAGCACTTGCAAGAGATATTATGAGATTCTGTCGTAACTGTGATTTGGCAAAACAATAGACAAAATAAATATTTAAAATACGTCCATAACAGTGGTTCAAATTTATGTTGAAAAAACGATAACGGCAGACAATTATATAATTTGTGCAGAACGATTATAAAGTGATGTGCGCCATCAGCAATACGCACGTGGGACTCTGAACACGTGATAACCAAAATGTACACAAAAATGTACACAAACTTACCTCAGTTACTGACAGGTAAAACACCTGCTTTTCCGTCAGACCCTGCCAACATCTCATTAATTTTTCCAGAGTCTTCTTTCGAACTTCTTCCTCTTCGTCAGGTGGCACTTGGTCCCATTTGTTGAAAACAAAAATGGCTGACTCGGGATCAAACATTTGCAGTTGGTCTCGGTCCTTCGGGTCGGTGAGAATTTTCAGAAGTTTTTCGAGCTGAAACATGTAAAGAATTACCACTATAGCAAGTTGTAAAAACACTGTGACGTAACAGGTGAAGTAGATTTTAATTATCATCGTGCCTTTCATTGGTGGCTAATTTTGGTGATTTAAAGTGGTGAGTTATCAGAAAAAGGCATCCCAATGAAACTCTAAAATAGTACAATATCATCGAAATCCTGTATCTATTTGAAAACAATGACAATTGTCAATTGGGTTCAGAAATCCTCCTGTAAGTTCTGACAAAGGATGCATCTTTATATAAAACATGAAAAAAATTAATTATGTGGATTTAAGTGCCATTTTAACAGTAGTCAGAGTAACTGTAACAACACGCACACGTCCTTCTTGCACGCCGCCAGCATTTCCACTGTTGATGACGTAGATGAAGGCAAAGGCTTTTGGAAGGTAGTCCATCACAACCTTGTTCATAAACTCGTTCTCTCCAACACCGGGACTATCTACGATAAAAACATTACCCTGAAAATAAGAGTCATTATTTCATAAGATGATAATATATATAATATACAGCAGTTTAATACTATAAATCTGTAATATGATATAGAAGTATTTCACAGTTTAATGAACCACGATTGTTTAACCTCTTTCAAGAACAAATTGCATTTATTTAAGAGATTTTCAAATCACAACGACGCTCATTTCATGTTTGGGTGGCAAATCCGAACGTTGTATAGCAGAATATAATGGTAAAATCAAGCAATAATTAAACAGCATTAGCACTGTACCAGCTACATTAATTGACATTGCGCTGGGTCTCGCCTCAAGGAGTACAATTCCGCTTAAAATTGCTGTCTCACCTGTAGCAATGGAATCGGCCAAAATATTTCTATGAATTTATACGTGTCGGCGCCCCTTTCTTTAGAGTTGGCGTATTCTTGAAGTTGGTCCTGAATAGACGAGTCTCCAGTTTTCTTCAGGTCGAATTCAATGGTTTCCCTCCCAGTGGTAGGGTCGGGTTCCATCAGATGGACAACCGCTCGCTTCCTGTCGTCGTTTTTCAACTGACAGAGAGTGGACGTCGTGCTCAGTAGAGAGTAGGGGAGAACCTCCTCCCCTAAGAGTAGATTCAGAAGGCTGCTTTTTCCCGCTGATGTCTCGCCTAAGTATTTTTAAAACAGTAATATGGAAATAATGCTTTAGGAATAGGGGTGACTTATTGGCGCGTAACACTATTACTTGTCACTTCTCTTCATCCAAAATCAGGCTAATAATTTACCTTCACATAAACCCTTAATTTCGAACAGTTTTTAAATTTAGTGCCATTTTTTGCTATCATAAGCGTCTGAGCCAAAGTTCATACATTTCTATCTATATCTATATCTGCATCCAGCATACAGAAGTCATATAATGGCAATCAATTATCAATTATCAACAAATCTGGCAATATTTACATTTTTAAAAAAGTTCTCATTTGACTTTATGTCACAATCACGCCCGGTCAAGTTCTTATCATATTTTAGAGATATTTTCATAAACCACAATATATGTCAGGTTATCAGTGTTATCGCTTTTAAAGGACTGAATATGATTCATTTCGAAATGATAACTTCTCTCAAATCTTTTTAAACACAATATACACGCACAAGAACAAAACATCATCCCAAAACATCCAAAACATCCTCCCTATTTTTAATTTTCTGTAGAAACCTCACCGGCTACCAAGATCGGGCACTCGTCTTTCACCAGTTCGTGGTTATATTGTGTTATCTTAGCGATGCAGTTCGGAATTGCTGTCTCCACTTGCAATTTCAACTTGTCGTCGACTTTATTCATAAATTCTCGGAGTTTTCCATACACTCGTGATAGTTCCTGGCGTTTCTTGATGTCTTCATCAATGAGTTTCTTCATCATTGTACTGGCCTATCACAATAATAATAATAATAATAATAATAATAATAATAATAATAATAATAATAATAACGATAAAACATTAACTAAAAATGTGTAAATTTGTCTATCAAGATTAGTTGTAGACCTAGAAAAAAAAATCTAGCACACATTTATGTATAATTAGCCAAGTTTAGGCCTTCATTGTAACGATTTACCCTTTTAAAGGGGTATTATAGAACCACAAATCTGCAGTGCACTTTTATTAACCAACTTACCGGTAGTCTAGCTGTCTGTTTCTTCAGTTTGAACAAAAGCAGATTTTTGATGTCGTCCATAGTTTCCAGGTCCCCGTAGTCGATCTCGTGGAATTCACAGAAATCCATGGCCCCCGTGATGGAGGTCAGACGTTGCACGTCCTCCACTGTGTACTTGAACGACATCCCGTCACTTTGGTCAGCCATTTTATGCTTCAGTTCAAACTGAATAACAGAAGGAAAAGAGAAAGAATGAGCTGAACAGTTTCATAAGCTATGTGTTTTGAACAGAGCAGTTAAGTTTCATTTACCAATAGCTACAGAAAAAAAATTAACTTCTCTTTACCAATCAGTATTTTGTCTGCTGACAGTCAGACTTCATCAAGAAAGTGGTGAAAATCTTCCGTGTATGAACAAATATTTTAACTGCATCACCTTACGAACCTTTTTTACAACTGGAAGGCTTTGGGGATGACTTAAAACTAAGTAGGGCGTAAAGTTTGTGGTTGATAAGTGTCACGTGATTTCGGCACGCCATGTTTAAAAGCATGAACATTATAAAATGTATAAATTAAACCGAAACCGGGAATACGTAAAAGCGTTCTAATGGCGAGGATTTACCTTGACCTCGTTCAGGTACATTTTCTTCAATGATTGAAAACGGTAAAGCTGTCGTTGGTAATCGAAAGGAAAAGTATCGAAAACGCAATTAACAGTCATTAATGCGTCCCACAGCCATTCCACGAAAAGGGGTACAATTCCAAAACAAGAAATGCAGCGATATGAACTTTGCAAAACTGGAAAACTTTTTATATTATTTGATGAAGAGGTATTCAGAGAGTAGTAGAAGAATTTTAACCCACACCATTACTGTATTTAAAGAAATATGCACGTGTAAACATGGTACAGTATTTTTTTCGTTACGGAGGTTAGGTAACATCTAAATTAGGTTATATTTCAATCATGCCAAAGGTCACAGGCTCCATATTTGATTCAATTATTAAGAATTTGTATGTATTCAAAATATTATTGCCCATTTAAGATTTCTCTTCAATTATAGAAAATGCGGTGCAAACACATTGTTAATAAGTGGCTCGTTTTCTAAAAATACAAAGGCTGAGATATTCCAATTTAAATATTTTATTAATCGTTGGGGACAGACTTGCTTTTTTATCATACTATTTGTTTGTGAACAAAGTGCTATCAATCTATTATGATATTAGCATTGATCAGTGAGCACACACATATCCAGTGTTCAAATGAAAAAGGAGTAATTTCGTAACGGAGGTTAGGTCATTCTACATAGGTCAGCGATCATATATTTGTTTTGATATTTTTAGCTTAAGGTAGTCTTTAGAAGATGAATTCGGGATTTAAAGTATTACAGATACGACAAATTTACATAATAACATAGAAAAATTGATAAAACATGTTTATTCAAACCATTAAATGGCAAATGGTTACAACGGGTTGTTTTGCTTACTTTCAAGGACTACATAAATACATTTACCACTACTGGATACATTTCACTGCTAATATGTTGATCTATTCATCTGTAGAATTCACATTCCATATTTTACCAGAGTAAGAGTTTAATTTATAATCTTAGTAACAGAGGTAAGGTAAAACTCTAGTCTAAATTATGTCATACATGTACATTTAAACCGTTCAAAATCTTTCACAAGAAAAGCTTCGCGGTCATTAAATTTTTTTTCTTTCTCTCTAGTGTTTTTGTCGCTCTGTATTTGTAAGTGGCACATTGGTGTCTGTATAACAAAACATTAAACCTACATGCACATGATCGCAGTTATAGGCAATAAAAAACAACAAAATACCCGAGAAAGTTAATGCATACAATCAAGTAGGCCGACAATAGACACGTGTTTGCCAATAACTGTCCATTTAAAGTTACTGGAAGCATCTAGAAGATGATAAAAA